TCCAGGAGGCCGAGTGGTGGGAAGCTGGAGAAGGCCTCCTCCTCGGACTTGAGGACCACGGGCCGGCCGCGCCAGTCGGCCTGCAGCACCTTCTTGCCCCGCTCGAAGTACAGGCAGCGCCGGTACAGCAGCTTCCCCGCCACGCACAGGTCCTCGCAGAGGTCCCCCACCAGCGCGCCGCCGCGGTAGTCCCGGCACTGGAAGGGAGGGGACAGCCGGTCACACAGTGGGTCTCTGCGCCCAGACCGCTCCTGGCAGCTCTTGAGAACCCTCGAGAGTCTCAACCAGGGGTCAGAGAGCAACTAGGGAGTGAAAGACTGGAGAGAGTGTCTCCTGGTGGTTCCATTTCCCCATCAGGCCCAGGACCAGTTAGGAAGCGGGTCTCCCACTGTCCAGCTGGGTGATGCCAGCAAAGGCCGTGTGCATCTGGGTTTCAGTGTCCTGGACTGTCAGGGAAAGGACTGGGCCCTTGGTTCTCAAGTCTCGGCCCCACATCAAGGTCACCGGGAGAGCTTTTCACCTGCAGCCAGATCTCAGGAGGCGGGGCCTTGGAGACCCCAGGAAAGACCCTTACCATAGGACTGCTCCCTCAGCCGGTTGTTTTCTGGATGGGAAGAGGTGTGGCTGTAAGGCCAGCAGGCTGTGGGAGGGGTCAAGAGGACCCACTGCGGTAAACATGAGTTAGGACACACCTGGTGGCTGGTGGTGTCGGCAGGACTGGGAGGGGAAGCCCGGGGGATGCCTTTTGGAAGAGGAGCCCTGTGGGGTACGTTCCAGAAGTGGAGGGTGTGTTGGGTGCCTGGCCGTGGTGAGGAAGCACTCAGGGACCCTCAGATGGAATTTCTCCTCAACTTCAGAGCTCGTCAGCCCTCCTGCCACGTGGGGCACCTAGTGACATCCCCACCCACCCCCACACGACAAACATTCCTCCTAGGAAGTTGTCCAGCCAGGCCCTGCCCCTCTGACCGGCTAGACCTGGGGGCACACAGGAGAGGCTGGTGTGATACCGATCGAGAGGAAGGAGTGTTATTTCTTTCTCTTTCTTTTTTTTTATCTCTTCCAGGAAACCTAGACCCATTTTTACAAGGGTTTGAGCATATTTTCTAACTCCACCTGTCTCCTGCACAAATGCATCTTCCTTCCACGTGGGAAAATGCAGGTCAGGTGTGTAATTACACGCCACCCAGACTCTCTGGTGGCTCCGTGTTGCTCAGCTCTGTTAACCCCACGTAGATTGTACACAGATCCTTCAAGGCAGAAAATATACCTCCGGTGCCTGGATATATGAATAATTACAAAACCGAGAACCCTCTGAAAACTGCAACTTTTTCATGACTCGTGGGGTCAAGCCTAACTGAAAAGATGTGAGGCTGTTTATAGTCTGAATGTATTTGACCTGTGACTTTGCATATTCTTTGCTGCAGAATCATTAATTAGTTGTATTTGTTTAATTTGGTTACTGGTGCTGCCTCATACACAAAATGTAAGGTGTATTTATATTGCGTATTATCCAACACCCAAAAAAGTGTGAATTCCAAAACAGACCTGGCCCTAGAGCATTAGATAAGGGATTGCGGGTCTTTAGAAATACTCTCAGCCAACTGTCCAAAGCATATGACCAAAGTGCTGATTAAAAAAGATACACTCCCAGTTCTTAGAACAAGTACCTGGATTTTAGGGACCATTTTAGGCAGTAACTGGACAACAGCCTGGAAGACCCAAGCCAAGCCATCTGCCCTGGCCCCTCGGCTTCATGCTGAGGGGCTCCAGCACGCGGCTTCCCCTTTGCTGGTGGTGTTAGGTCTCGGTGCATCGTATTGGGATGTGAGGGTGTCATGCTTGCCAAACTCAAAGATGCAAGTGATGGAGACCTGCAGATAGAGTCTTGGACCTTTATCTGACCCTGGAGCTTGGGAAGCCACCCTGTTTGCCCAGGGCTGGTTTTTTTGTCTTTGGAAAACAAACAGCCTTGATGCAGCTGTATTAATAAACAGCCATGAAACTGTTTTAAATACACTCATTGCTGTGTTCATCCTGCAGTTTAACGTAACGCAATTTTGGTCAAATGCCCTCCTTTTACTTTTCATCCTACCGACTCTTTCCAGGGCTTGGGGTCATGAAATGAAGAGGATCAGGACCCTCTAAGTTACCCTCTTTGTTTGGAATTGCTTCCAAATCACCCTTGTAAGAAAGCAGCGCTGGTTCGGGCCCCTCTGAGACCTGCTTCAGGATGATCTTAGCCGTAAGGTGGGGATGAAAGGGTTAAGTGGTCAAAAGACCCAAGAATGAAAAGATGTGAATGACAGATAATAGGAGGTGTTCATTTTACTTGTTGCAGTTTTATTCTACTTTATCTGGTATTTACAGAGTTTCACATCTCTGTAATAAACCTGATAAGCAAAGGCAACGTTTTTCCTTGAGTGCCTTATAAAGCCCCCAAACCCTTTACATCTGATACCCAAAATGGTTTAATTCAATTCCATAATCGTTTTTAGAGCATTGTCAAATTTGTAGTTTAATCAAAGATGCTTTTGTACGAAGGACGGAACGGCACTGAGCAAGAAAGGAAAGCAGGTGACAGATCCGAGTTTGGTAGGACGAGGTGGCTCCCGCCGTGCTGGGCAAAAGGGAGAGGAGGCTGTGGGGAAGGTGGACATGGCCTGGCCACCGCACCCAAAGTAGGGAGCATGGAGGGTATCAGCTGTGACTGCCCGGGGCCTTCACACTGCTCATCTGGAACTGCGGCCAAAATTATCCCTGTCCTGTGAGCTCAGACACCCGCTCCACTCCCCTAGGACGGCGTTGGCCATGGACAAGCTACTTCGGCCACGCCAGCCACCTTCGTGTTAACACCACCACTTTTCCCAGCTTAGCTCTGCAGTGTGTGAGCTGAGCCACGATCCAGCTACAGGTGATAGGCTCAGGAGTCACAGAGCAAGGTAGCTGCCTTCCGAACTCCTACATGACGCAGAGTAGGAACAAGAAAGGAGCACGGCCAGGCTCGGCTCTGGGGCAGACTGGGTTTGCCTCCGTGTGGCTTGTTTCCAAGTCTGTAACATGAGATGATGACACTGTGTCACAGGAGACCTGTGAAGGTCAACCGAGGTCACCTGTGCAGAGGACCTGGTGGTCTCTGTGAATGCTAGTCCCTCCCACCCTGCCCAGCCCTGGTCACTAGAGGGCTCCCTCCCCCCAGGAGGCTTCTTCCTGCAGAGATGCGTCCCAGCTCAATTTTGGAAGACAAACTGTGGGTCACCTAGCGGACCAGGAGGGAGAGGGCAGGGAATGACCTGCACAGGGGCCCATGGTTGCAAAGTTGCTTGTGGGTTCAGAGAACCAGACACAGTTTAGAGGATTGGAGAGCAAGTTTAGAGCTGGCACCAGGGTGGGAGGGGCTGGGATGTCCTGCCAAAAATTCCGCTTGCCATGTCTCCACCTGCAAGGTTCAGATCCACACTGAGGCAACGTATACATGAGACTAGTTATTACAGAGCTGCTCTGTCATCCTCCTTCACGATGAAGTGTTTTGGGCATATCAGTTCCTACTCTTATTCGGAATGTAAAATTCGTCCACTGTGGCTGCTCTGGTTACCAGTGTCCTGTGAGTGAGTCTGCAGGGTCTTTTTGCATCTCTGTGCCTGCCACACTGAGAGAAAGACTTAGCTCAGCATTTAAAAAACAGTCAATTTAAAGGACCAATGACAAGTTTACAAGCTAATTAAAAATTATCATCATGTTAGAGACAATAGTGAAATTATTTTATTGGCAGTATGTCCTATTAAGGCAGCTAACTTTTTTAACTCAGTAGAAGTGGTTTATTTACTTTAACTCCATTTAAAAAATCACTATTCTCTGAATATGAGGAGGTCCTAACTGCCAGCTTGAAGACAGATACAGTTCTGTACCCAAGTGCATGTGCATACAAAATCCAGTGGTATCAGATTTTAAGATAAACTGGGGGGGGGAACAAGTTAAAATCTCATTGTAGTTAACTGGCATTTTTTTAATTAATGAAATTCACAGCGGATCCCTGTTTCTTATAGCTCGTGTGCAAACTGCAGACATGCATCCCCAGCAGTCCCAGTTCCTGTAGGAAGCGCTCTTAGAATCTCTCCAATTTTATCGCGGTTCCCAGGCAAGAACAAAACCTGTCCCCTCTAGTCTGGGAAACCGGTGACAGGGTCTCAGAGGTCATGCCTGGAGGCTGGGTTTTCTTTTGTGTGCTTGTTTTTGTTTTTAAGGAGCATTAAGTTCTTGTGTGGTTAGTAGCATGTCTCACCACAAAATTCCTTTGCGGACTCTCAGAGCAATTAGCCAGCCCACTGTGCAGCCCTGCTTGACCCCCGGACAGCTTAGAAGACACACATGACAAACACGGCCAGAGCGCTCGGGAAAACAGAGCCATCCCCTGCTGCGGAGTCCTTCTGGGGGTGTGCCCTGGGTGTCCCACCTGGCCTTGGCTTCCTCTCAGAGCAAAGGAAGATAAGCCTGCCCTAGTAAAAAGAAATCCCTGATGTTAGTGACTAAATTAAATCACATTAAGACCAACTAGTCTCTGGAGAACAGAGTCTGCGGGAATCTCTCTGAGATGCTTTGGAAGTGATGTGCTGTGCTGAAAACTTAGTTTTCAGTATTGGAGAAGCCAGTTACTGTCATGGGGTCTCTCCTCTCCGAGTCACATTCTGGCTCCTGACACAGTAGCTGTGTGAATTGGGACAAGTGACTCCACCTCTCTGGGGCTCGGTTTCACCATCTGTGAAATGGGGAGAGTGAAAGCAGATCCCTCCCAGAGGCTGCTGAGGGGATGAAACAGTACACATAAACCTACCTAGCTCGGAGCCTGCCAGGGTGAGCATCAGCGGGGCCCCGCTGCAAAGTGCGCTGTCTGCAGGACCCGGCTTATAAATTACCAAGCACAAGGCAGGGGGATATAGCTCAGCGGTAGAATGCGTGCTTACGCTTCCTGGTTGAATCCCTTTGCCTCCGTTTAAGAAAATTGGAAAGTAAGTTAATTAATTATCAAGCCCAGCACAACGCTCACCAACCTGGCATGGCCTCCAGACCCGGTTCGCTGGGAAAGCAGGGTTCTAGGAACCTCGCGGGGGTGTCTTGATTATGGGATGTGCTGAAGCGTCATGGTGAAGAGGAGGGCTGCCGTCTGCCTAGAAAATTCCAAATCTGGGAGACCCAGGGCTCGACTCTGGAGCCGTTCCAACTGGCTCTTCTAACTCTCTTTCCCTCTTGAGTGTGGAGGGTGGTGGGCTCCCTCCGGAGGTGGGGTGAGGCCTGGGGAGGGCAGCAGCACACCTGACTCCCAGCTGATAAGCAGCCCCTCGGCTTCCTCCACAGACCCCGGCAGGCCAGCAATGCCACCTGCCTGGTGGGAGGGCACAGAGGGTCCCCACGACTCCCCGGGCTCCGCCTGACGGAAAGGGGCTCCCCCGGGCTCAGCTGCAGCTATTTCTTCAGTGCTGGTGTTCAGAGTGAAAGCTAATGAGCGTCTGGAGGCCAGTCAGAAAAATAACAGCCAGTTTTATTACGAAGGATGAAAGCCAGGCAGAATGAATTGAAAGTGCTTGGGGAGCCGGGAGACAGAGGCTCGATTCAGTCCACAATGGCCAGCCTCGGCATGGCGGCCAGGGCCCAGCAGAGTCTGGGATGTGGAGACCGGGGTCCTATTCAAACCTCGGTCTTGTCTGCAGTGTCCTGGGTGAAAGGGAGCTGGGTGGGGCTCCCATGAGCAAATCCAGAATGGAGAAGGGAGACAGTCAGGCCCTGAACATGGTGTGAGAAACAGCAGCCTGAAACAGGGCCTCCGAGTATGCTCCCGCCAGCATCAGGTCAGTGAGACCATGGCAGGTGAACTTCAGGGGGATAGACAGATGTGGTATTTCAAATCAGTCTTTTGGCCACAGGAAAGAATGAGAGTCTTCCAAGGCAGAACCTGTCTCTTCAGCTTGATGTCAGACTAAAAACAACCCCCTAGGGCTGCCACTGGAGAGATTTTGGCAAAGCCCCCAAACAGAATTGGTTTTAATTTTATGAGCTGGGATGCTGGGAAAGTTATGATTAGCAATTACTTAAGTTACACTAGGCTATTTAATTTCCATTAGGCCTTCTCTCGCTTAGCCAAAGGTAAAGAGATGAAACATAGTGTTTGTTTTTCATTTTAATCTAAAAGACTGTCATATTATTTTTGTAAATGGGTGTTCCATCCTGTCCAAACTATTAGGGTTTTTTTTTTACTATAATTAGTCAATCAGTCTCCCTAAAACAGAGGGAAAAGTCTTTATCAGTGAAGGGAACTTTTAGATGAGCTACTGAGATCAGTGTGCTCTTGCAGCTTACAGAAAACTTGACATACCTTCATTGTGACTGAACAGATAGATTGACAGATGACAGGTGATTGATTATTGGCAGGATGGAGGGAATTGACTAGGATCTCATCAACGTTATGATCAATTCTCGAGGACGCGTCAGACTCAGGGAAAATAATTTGGTTTAGCTTGTCCATTTCACCTCGTTTCTTTAATTTTTCCAATCTCACTTCAAAAAATAGTCATTTACATGAAAGCCTTTATGCTACCATAAAACCTGCAGTCTCAAAAGGCTCACCCATACAAAAGCAATTGGACTGAAAACTTCCCATGCGTTTCTTGAAGATTTCTTAGAAAATAGATCACTTTTCACACGAAATGCTTAGGGGCACTATTTTAAGGACGTGAATAATCACTTAATCAATGTAACAACTAGTTGCCACTACCTTCACTTTTCTTGGCCTTTCTGCTAGGGGTTCCTACCTTTATTCAAGTCTCTTAATGCGCATCAGCTTCCGAACCAAACAGAGAGACTAAGGAGCTGCCAACGTTTGGAATCAACTAATGCGCATCTGGGGCCCAGGGCGCGCAGCAGCCTGCAGGCTGCATTTCTGTCTCTCCCTAGTTGCCAGACCCAGCTAGGGAGCCTATTAGGAGACTGTAGTCAGGACCCCAGGACGGGGGACCGCTGGGGTCCGAGCCGCCTCCCAAGCGGTCCGCTCGCCTGAGCGCGCTCTGCCTTGGGTCCTACGGACGCGCCTGGGAGAGCTGCTGCCTTGGTGGGGAGGGAGGCAAAGGCCCTACTAGCCGTCTGCATGGAGCTCGGTGAGGTGCAGCCCAGGCTGGAATCACAGAACAGCGGCGGGTCGAGACGGGGACGCCAGGAGCAGAGGCGTGGTCCCCACCGGCCCCCAGCCCTCACCAGCAGACTCGGAGCAGACCCGCAAACTTTTGTTAGGAGCTCAGGCTCGCGGGCGGCGGAAGGGCAGTGGGGCAGAAAGGTTATCTTGGGACGAGGGGCCAGTTTTGGCAAATGGGGAAGGACACCCCCGCGCCCCCACAGAGGACTCCCGGGCAGAGTCCCATGCTGGAGACCGGATGGTGC